ACAACAGAGCAGAGCGGAACCTTTCTGAAGGAAACATAGCCGCAGCCGCAGCTACTGCATCTGCTCTTGCCTCAGCTGCCACAAAGCCACACACCTGGCTGCCCTTGAAGAGAAAGACCAAGGCCGCTCTCCTGGTTGAGACACGGGTGACGAAGCTGGAGATCACACTTCGGGGCCGGAAAGGACCGTGGACAGAAGGAGGCTTAGAGCAGCGGCAGCACCTGCTTGCCGAACGCCAGGACTTGCACGTGGAGCAGCTGAAAGCAGCGTGGGCAGAACCCTCCACAGGGACAGTAGCACTCCAGGGGGGCTGGCCCGGCCCCCCCGGCACCTGGGCATGATGCCTCGCCAGCAGTGCCCCTCCTCCCCACCCCTGCTACCCTCTGATGCAGCAGAGGATGCTGCCGCCCCACCTGCCCCAGCCACGTCACACCAGGCCCAGGTTCCATGATGCCTGGGCAGCCCATGCCAAGCTGCACGATACCCATCATTGCAGCTAGCTTGCACACCTGCCCTCGGGGAGTGGCCTATCTGTATGCTGCCCATGTGGGGAAACATCCTGGGACCGACCCGGGTAACCCTCATAGCACCTCGGGGCTTGTATCCCCCTTCTCCAGGCCCACCCACTGCCCCCCACGCGAGCCTGGAAGATGCCAGCGCCACCAGTGGAGGTTGGGATGGCAAGACTTAGGTCCCTCAGCTTCCTTGGGTCTCTTTCAGGACTTTCTTCTCACAGCCCCAAGCAGGAGTTGCATCTCCCGCTCTCCCCATTTCTCAGGCCCCATTCTCCATGCTCTGACACCCCGGTGTTAGGTCCTCAGCCAACACCCAGGGGAAGCCTGGGTGACAGGGTGCCCTGCTCCTCCTCAAAGTAACCTGTCTTCCCTGTCCGGTGTGGGCATTCTGTCTCTACTACCTGTGCTCTCCTGCAGTGCTTTGCTTTGTCTTATGCCTCTGTAAATAATGTCTTATACTCACTCTCTCTCTCTCTCTCTCTCTCTCTCTCTCTCTCTCTCTCTCTCTCTCTCTCTCGTCATTGCTTTAAAGAAAAGCATCCGAAATTAATAGGAACCAAACCATGGTGATGGGAAGGGAGGGTAGCCAGCGAGGGACAAACCTTCAGTCAGAATAAGCGACCTTATTTCTAGTTTTCTGAGTTAAGAATGGTGCAGGTGGTGAAATTTCGTGAGGCTTTTGCCACACACAGATCCACCAAAATTCAAAACAATGGGGGAAGGGGACTCCATTGATTTTTCTTCCTGGTGAGGTCCACACCCCGTTAGTGCCCGGAGGAGGAAGCACAGGCTGAGCACAGATAGCTCCCTCCCAGGCCCACAGACTCTGCTCTCTCTGCAGGTGGTCTGTTGGGTCAGGGTAGGCATTTCTGTGTTTCTGAAGGCAGTGTGAGCTTTGAGGCCTGGCATGTGCGGGGGCATTCCATAGTCCCTGGGATCAGCCAGGAACGTGTTAGAGGCCAAAGGCCATGGCCCCCCAGTGAATCTACTACAGTATTCACTGCTTGTACACATTCTTTTTCTCCCTCTTAAAAAAAAAAAAATGGGTAGCTAGAGCTTGAACATTTTAGCTCATAGACCTTGGTCAGGAGGGCTGGAGTGCTCCCCACGCTACCTACCTCTTGGAGTGGCCAGGTGATTGGAGCTTCGTGTGCATTGCATGCAGGAAATACTGGGGGGAGGACAGTCACACATGATAAAAGCTGAATAATAGTCATATGGAACTTATCCACTCGTGATCATAGGATCAAGACCTCAAGAAGAAGGACAGTCTAGTTCTCCTTCCTACCCAGAGTAAAGGTTTGAATGTGAGAGCTTCAAAGTTAGGATCACAGATTCATTTCTATTTCTAGTCTGTCTGTGAAAATGACTCATTCTATTTCCTGACATTGGTATATTGATATTAATTTCACAGTCCTTGCCGTAAAAGACCTTTCTGGATAGCTGCCTTTGAAAAACATAAAAAGTAGTACCTCGTTGTAGGGAATGGTGGCAGAGCAAAAGATAACTCTTAAGCAAGGTCTACACTTTTGAAATGTCCATCACATTTACTTGAAATGACAAAAACACCCGGTCACTTTCTGAACAGTCAGGAACACTGGCTACAGTGTATTGAATCTTAGGTAGATGGAGCCATTTGCTGGGTACGTTGCCTTTTTGATGTTCCTCTTTTTACCATACTTTCCCACGTCTGGCCTCAGAGCAGCAGCGCTTTTTTTTCAGGAGAGGTGGATTACTCCCTTTTGCGTGCAGCTATCTCAGAGGGGCCATTTGCTGAACTAAAAATAAAGTTTTTAAGTAGCTTGCTTTGCTGATCATTGAAATGATTAGATACCATCTTTCTGCCTTCCTGGCTCTCTCAGAAAAAGACATGCTGAGGGAAATGCAGCAGCGCTGGAGAAGCCAATCCTGTTCAAAATGGCTCATTTTGCAAAGATTAAATGAAAATAAATGCTCTCGTGGACAAAAAAATAAAAAATAAATTAAAAAAAAGAAGTGGTGTCGTCCTGATTTTGTCTTCAGTGTGGATAACTAGCTTGCCGAGAAATAGCCAATATCGGCTGCACACCTACAAACAATATGCACACTCTCCATCGGCAATCCCAAGCGAGGCTCCTTTCCAGGGCCTGCTGTCCTGAGCTGGACTCACATTCCGAGGCCCAGCGAAATTCTCTGCTATGGATCTCAACGGCACAACTACCCAAATCTGATAGAAAACATGCAACTTGAGCAAAGGAATTGTCTAAGTGAAGGCTGCCTCACACTTTCTAGGTCATATTTCTTTAATTTAGCCATAAAGATCTTTTCTAGAGTATCAGTAAAATCATAAAGAATCGGGGTAGGTTTAACCTTCCTAGAATAAGTGTTTTAAACTATGCTGTGAGCCAATGCATTAGGATTATTAGATTCATGGGGGCGGGGGAAGAGGGGTTGGGGGAGGAGAGAACCGTTCTTCTCTTTTTTTAAACACATACACACTTTCAACACTGACATACCAGTAGTCTCTCACAATCCTAAGAAGGACAATTACACTTTGACCAGAGAATTGTATTGCTATTTCCTCTTACAGGGTAAGTACAGAGAAGCAGAGAGCACACTGATTAAAATGGGTTATACATTTGTGCGTGTTGTCATTGTGTTTTCTCATCAGTTTTTCCATTGGAAGAGGCATTTCAGAAGTGCCCTCTGTCCTCCAAACCCTTTCCTACTTCATTGGCTGACCACTCAGCATCAAACCTGAAAAGTTATTAGGAGGTTGATTTGGTATTTGAAAAGCAGATGTATTTTAAAGTTGAAGAAACAAAGGTTTTTGCGTGTGTGTGCTCTCTAACTGCTTTTTTAGCTACTCCCTTTTAACAGATGTTCTAAAAAGCTTTGAATCATGCAAAAAATGCCTTCCAAGGACAGTGAATGAACTGATGGCAGATGGCTGTCCACAAGGCACATCAGCAAAGTACTTTGTGTACAATCACAAATTTTAGTTTTTCTGCCTGAATGAGGTTTCTCCTTCTTTTCTGCCAATTCTTTGCTGTCTAATAAACTAAGGAATTTTAAATGTTATTTTTAAATAAATTTTAAAGATCCCTTAAAAATAGAGTTTAAAGACCTTTTTAAAAATAAATGTAAAAATACCTTTTAAATGAATTTAGTAGCTCTAAATGCTTGGTCCTAGACACTGAGGCAAAACCTGTCTCATCACCAGCTGTGTTTCATTATATGAACACCTTTTATAAATACACACAATTTGTAAATGTTCTCGCTGGCATCAGACAATGAAACAGATGGGCAATTATGTAACTATTGTACTTATGCAGGTGGGAAAAGTATACCCTTTGGAGCACGTGCACATGATATTTAAGAACAACAAATAGTTCTCACATCAAAATAAATGCAATAGAAAATTGAAGGTATTGGTTTTTCAATGTATCTTCAAGGGAAAGAAGTAACTATATTTAAACATCCCATCAACCCCTATCAGTCCAATTTTTGAGCCAAGCAGAACCCTTTTCCAAGTCTAAGACCAAGCTGAACAAACACCTCTCACCCTAGCCCACCAAAGCAACAAGTTCCTTCTGTTTGGAATTGGGATTTTTTTCTAAAGATGACTGAACCTTGGATGTGTCTGCAGCTATGAAATTATAAACCACATCATGTTAGGTGGGATAGCACAAAGGTCCAGAACATAGATAGTCTAGCATCAAACCCTGGTTCCTACAACTAGTACCTGTATACCCTTGGGCAAATTAGCATTCCTACCCCTCCATCTCTTCATCTGAAATGGGGTTTGTAATAGTGTTAGGTGTACTCATCCTCCTCATCATCACCATTGAGACCCTAAGGGTTTTTAATCTAGGGAAATGGATTTCAGCCAATTGTAAAAACCAAACAAAACAAAATAAACTAATTTATTAGCATCTGTATTGTGCCAGTTTATGTAATGACTCCAGATTCATTTTGGCACTCGTGCAATTCTGGTAGACACAGTAATTACAAGTAACACTTAACTTGCCAGCCAAGCACTAACTACACTGAGCATTTTACATGGATTATTTCATTTTATCCTCACAATGACCTTGGGGTGAATTTATTATCATCACCATTCCACACATAAGGAAATTGAGGCTTAGAGAGTTTAAACACTAGCCTCAGCTTAGCTAGTGAACAATGGGTTTGTGACATGAATGCAAGCAGTCCAATTCCAGAGCATTCAGAACCAAACTGCTATTAGTAGTTTTCTTAAATTGAAAAAAAAAACACCATATATATACATACATATGTATGTATATATATATATGACATTTTCAACTAATAGCTAAATAAATTTTATTTCATTCCAAAAAAAGATGCTCATTAAAATATCATAATGTAGTCTGAGAATCAGTGAGTTTCTAAAAAGCAGATTGCCATTTCATAGCAAAACTATACTTCAAATACCCAAATTTCACGGTTAAAACGCAGAGAAGGAAAGAAATCAAAATCATTTACCTGTTACTAGAATTGACGGGAAGAAGCTGAGAGCCAGAAGCAGCCTGAGGATCATGGTGCTAACAGGTCAGAGAGGCAGCCCCTCCTCCGGAGGAGCCCCAAGTGTGAGGTGGGCTGAGGGCACACTCGCTAGGGCCTGCGCGTCACCGTCATCCAAGGCCACCGCCAACTTCACTTCTCTCGGGGCACATGATCAAACCACATGTCCTCAAACCTCAAGGCACCGCTTCACACAGGATATTGCATTGTTTTGATGACTGTAGACTTTTCTTTTAAAGGCGTCCTTTTCTTGTCACTGAAAAAGATTGCCAGTCACTCTATGATGGGCTCATGAGAATGATTCTTGATGGTCCGGGGTCACAGCTGGGGAAACCTGGTGCGTGGAATCCAGCAGGAATGTAAGGGTAGACAAAGGTATTCTAAAGGACAGATAAAGCCCTCTCACAGAGGAGAGATTTTCACGAGATGGGGATAGACATATTGTTAGAGTTAAATAACAACAATGAGAATTCTATTGAGGATTTATTTGGGAAAATTTAGACCAGTGTTGAAAGGAGTCATAAATATTGGGACTTGAACTTGTGTGTTAGACATAGGTAGCCCTTTGGAGAATTTAACACGTGCACCTTTGTTTATACCAAGCTCACTTCTAGGAACTTTGAGAACCACACACCCTCCTTGCAAGCTCAAGCCACTGAGAAGAGGAGGTCCCCTAAGCAAAGGGAGAGTCAGATAACAAAGGGGGTCAGTAAAGTGACCAAAAGCCCTTTTGTATGTCCCTCAAGGAGTCACTCAATATAAGTGAGAGGCAGGAAGGGAGGGTCTAGAGCAGGCTCCCCAAGGCCAGTCCCATGCCCTGAGCCCTCTCCTTCTGGCCATGCCTTCTGCATTTGAATCTTTCCACTGGTGTGGCCAACTCTGCTTCCCTCGTCTGGCACCTGACTCAGGATCTTGTATTTGCTGGCTTTCTCAAAATCTTCCCAGTCATTTTTTTCTGTTTTCCTGAACATCTAAGTTTGATATGATTACCCTAGGTTTGGTTTGGTTTGGTTTGGTTTTAAGATAGTTTGTATTGCTTTCTATTCTGACTATAAAAGTCAGACATATTTCATATAGAAAATTTAGAAAAAGATACATTTAACCTTTTTAAATGTAAAAAATAATCATTAAAACCAAAATCTCGCATAATCTTACCACCCTGATGTACTTTTAACTTCCTGCTCCATTGTCTTCCATGTGATTTTCTACTAAGATTTTTATATGTTTGATGCCATGTTTTATTTATAGTTTTCAACAGATATATGCTCTTATCTGTTATATCTGGAACATTTCCCCATGACATATAAGTATTCTTTATCAATACCATTTGTAATTGATGAACAATATCTTATAATCATATCATAATTTGTTTAAGCATCCCCTAGTACCAATTTTTTGCTATTTTAAAAATGCTACAGTGAACATCCTTGATGACCTAGCTATAAGTCCCACCCTTCTCATCTGCTGAATGATAGATTTAAAAATTTTCTCTCCCGATAGACCTCTTTTGTCCACATTTCAATTTTCTCACCAACACAGTCTTTGTGACCCGCCCATACTGACACATTTTTTCTGCCCTTTGGAGCAGCTGGTCCTTGAAAAGGATTCATTTACACTTCTGAACTAAAGGAAAATAATTATGTTAACGCCCCAGTCCTGGAGAAGATTCACTTCTAGTTTGACCCAGTATTCCTGGCTCGGACCCTCCACCCCGTTAGGGGGACCTATTGCTTACCCAGGGCCTGATATCTTTCTGGGACAATTTAAAGGAGGCCTATTGACCTTCTCTACAAGGTTACCCCTATTCTGGAGCGACTAGACCACCCAGATCTAGACAAAGAGGCTCTGAAATTCATCATAGAGATTAAGAATATGTACAGGAGAAACAAAGACTTCCTGAATTTCCCTCTGACCGATAACAGAAAGCTAAGAAGAAAATGAAGAACTATCTTTGAGCACAGGAAAGATAACTGTATAACATCTAGCTAATATTATGTATATGTAAATGCCTGGTTGAATCAAACTCAGCTGGAAAGAAACGGTGCAATTATCTGGTCTAACTCCTTTATTTTGCAGAGGCGGATGCTGAAGCCCACAGAGAATAGCTAATTAATAGAAACTCACAAAATATCAAGTAAGTATACTTGATTTTATAACTTGATTAACCATTTTTTGGTTTTTAGTCATTAGAATAAAAGGAAATACAAATGTTGGTATTTGCCTTCTTTTTTTATAAATATATATCACACTAAAGAAGCAAATCATTTCATTAGGGTTTGGTCCTTTCACATTTGCTCCTTGAAATTCAATGGCATTCACATGTACTGAGAAGTGAAAATGAAAGAAATGAAATAAAGGACATTAAAGCCATCAATGCAGAGATTACTGAGTCTCTACTGTGTTCCCCATAATAAAAGTAGTTAGCATTTATGTAGCAAGCACTTCACATGCCTTGTCTCATTTAATACTCACACATTCTGTAAGGAACACGCTACTATTATCCCCACTTTACAGATGAGAAAATGACTCTGAGAGAGTTGAGAAGTCTCAGGAAGCAGTGGAGTCAGCATTAGAATCTAGAGATTTCTAACTTGAACTGCTATGCCCTAGGCACAGAACTATACTGCCTCCTTACTGTCAAACCTCTCCAGGATTATAAATTCCTTCCGGCAAAAGAATAAGAAATGTGCATTATCTTTCTCTTGCAAGGCATCTAACATCTAGCCTATGTGCTGGAGTGTGAGAGGAAAAGGGGTTGGCCCCAGGATGCTGTGAAGACATAATCAAACTATGTTTGATTTAAAAAAAAAAAAATGCACCTGGATATTTATGGAGAAATTCCAGAATTTTTTAAATTCACACATGATTTTGAAATTCAAGGACATGTGCATGTGATGATACTGAAGTTCCAATTACATAACTTGTCAGAGAAAAATATAGTACAAATGACCAAATTCTCTGGGCTGTTTGAACATATGTAATAGAAATTACACTTGGGATTAAGAAACTTAAAAAGAAAGAATCTTGGGGCATGTAAAATCCTATATAATAAAAAGGTAATATGTAAATTGATCCTAATGGCATAATGACTAGGAACAACCAGTCACTATGATGCACACTGACCACCAGGCACAGACGCTCAACACAGGAGCTGCCCCCTGGTGGCAATACGCTTCCACAGGACTGACACTAACTGGGATGACACCTGCAAGCACAGCAGAGGTGGAGATGGATGTCTAACTGTGGTTTAGGCCTGCTCCTCCTGGGAAGCGGGCCTAAGCTGTCAGTTGGACATCCTCTGAGGGCTCCCAGGCTGCCAGAGGGATGTCAACTTGGGCCCACTCCACCAGGAGCAGGCCTAAGCTGGCAGGTGGACATCCCCCGAGGTGTCCTGGACTGCAAGAGGGTGCAGGCTGGGCTGAGGGATCTCACCCCATTCTCCCACCACCCCCACCCCTGCCCAGTGCACAAATTTTCGTGCATCAGGCCTCTAGTTGTAATATAATATTGTAATATTGTGGTCTTTATTCTTGGCTCCTAAAACCTCTGTAATTTCCTAATTAATAAAGGTTCTAGGACCATTTTGTTTTCATATTTGGTTTTTTATTCAGTTTCTTGCCCAGAGCTCCTAAATGCGTAGGAATTTTCTGGGTGATGGGAGCATCTTTTGTTCTAAGGAGGTGATTCTTGGTTAGCTCCTGGATAGCTTCAGGATGGGGCTGGTCATGAGAAATACCAAGCCATGATTAGAAGCTGGAAACTTTTAGCTCCTCTCCCTATCCTCTGAACCTGAGAGGGGGTCACGGGAACACAATTTATACACAGTCCAAAAAATTACAACCTGGGACTTGCATTTGGCATCTGTAGGAAGGACAATTTTGTGGAATTGACCCCTTAACTTGTGGGATCTGACATTAACTCTAATTAAATCATGTCAGAACTGAATTAAATTGTAGGACAACCAACTGGTTTCAGAGAATTAGTCAGTATTGATGGGGGGAGAATTTTGAGAATTCTAGCAGCTAAAAGCAAGGGCTTGAAGTTCCACAGGCTTAAGGGACAAATCCCAGTTGGGCCACTTGGTAGCCAAAGGAACTTAAAAAGTCATAACCTCAATTCTGCATGTGTAAAGTAGGAATGAAAATAATTCACACAGTAAGTTGTTCATATCTCACACAATGTGTGAATTTCCACACTCTTAAGATAGAAATAAGATTTAATGAATCTCCATTTCACACTTACTATAAGGGGCTGAGTAAATTTTTGTTGGATCAACCAAAATGGATCATCTATAATATTATATTATATCATAATATAAAAGCATAATATGCTAATTAGACCAGGCAGTCAAACGGCCTTCTGGACATCATTCTGGACGTCCTTCCAGATGAAGCCACAGAGGCAGGGGTTGAGGCAGAGGTGGTTAGGGGTGATCAGGCAGGTGGGTAAGCAGTTAAGGGTGATCAGGCAGGCAGGCAGGCAGGCAGGCAAATGGTTAGGGGTAATCAGGCAAACCGGCAGAGAACATTAGGGGTGATCAGGCAGGCAGGCAGAGGCAGTTAGGGGCAATCAAGTAGTCAGGAAGGCCAGCAGTTAGGAGCTGGTGGTCCCAAATTGCGAGAGGGATGTCTGACTGCTGGTTTAGGCCCTAACAGTAGTCGGACATCCCCTAAGGGGTCCCAAATTGTGAGAGGGTGCAGGCCAGGCTAAGGGAATTCCTCCCCCCTCCCCATGCACAAATTTCATGCACTGGGCCTCTAGATGAATATATGTTTGATATGTTTACATAGACTGATTTTACTTTCCAGCATGAGTAACACCAGAACTCTGTTTTAGAAATTAGCATAGTGCCTTCTTGGTGCATAGTTCTTTTCACCGTAACCTACACCAGTATAAACTACGAAATATCATTGAAGAGTCCTCAAGAATTAGTCAAGCCAGTCAATAATGGGAAACCCTCTGGCTATCTCTAATATTGAGCAAGCCTACCAGGATAATATTTTCTTTTGTCTAAATTTCAGCTAGAAACTTGCCTTCATTTTAGTTTCTAATTTTCCATAAAGGTCTTGTCATACAGGGGTTCAAATGCTCACCTGGTGACTGTGGAAAAATAACGAAGCTTGAGATTCTTTGAGCTATGCAGTTGGTACAAAAAAGTTATTAAAAAAAAAAAAAAAAAAAAAAACAGACAAAAACTCTTAAAAATAAAGGTCATGCATTATCACAAACCAGCAGGACCAAAGCCTGAAAAAAAAAATTATGTTGTGCCCAAAAGAAATGAAAAGGCAAGAAATAACTGCCATATTGATCAACTAATCCTACTGAGTAAACAAATATTAAATATATTTG